TCAGATATGTCCTCTTTTGATAGGTTAAGTGAGTTCGAATTTTTTCCATCGAGTTTTGACAATATTAATCTAAACATCAAGCAAATGTTTTCATTTGAACAGGAAGGTACAATAACTTAACAATAATTTAAAACTTACAATAGATACACCGATATCATGCCCAGTATCTATCAACGCCCAAAGGGACCTCGTCTGATATTTTGACAATATCTGACCCCTCTTCGGATATTTTTCTTCATTATCATTATGACCCGAGTTATTGAAGAGATTTACACAATATTAAGCATACTCTAATGCACCAAATTGGGGTACATTATTCATACCTTAATGGTGCTGATTTTGTTTAGACTTAACAGGCAATCCTGATCAATGTTTAAGTTTAACTTCACCGTGCCCATTGATTTAGTGGCTACCTGGTTATCCGCGTATATATTTATTGTTATGTTAGTAACCGTGGCTTAAATAAATGTTATCCCATCTGGAGTCATGAATCAGTTAAAATCCATAAGTAACTATAGAAAGACCATTACATGCATACTAAATGGTGTAAAAATTGATCTACAGGTGTGATATTACTACTCTTTTTAAAAATGATATAAATGTGAAACAATGGATTCAATATATTTTGTGAACGTTTTCACTTTGAAAGTGAAACTTTACATTTAAATGATATAAATTAACTACCAAGATTATACTCGTACTATTTGTAATCACAAGATTTTTTTTTGTGGGTTCACATAAAGTGTCTGTGTCTTTCTTTGTAATACTTTGAATGCTTAGCACTTCTGTAAAAGCGTTTTTGATTGATAAATCTGGATTCAAACTATATTTACTATCGATCTTTCAAATTTTGTAACCCAACAGAACATTCTTAGAGTAATGTAACGTTTTGTTGGTATGGTTAGTAGACAGATATATTTTTCATAAATACATATATCGGCAGAAGTCACACTTCATTTGTTAAGTCATAAAAAACAGCAGTTAATTTCAGGGTAACCTTAATACTCTGTCAAAATATCTAGAGCGTTATAAATTAATATCGAGTGTTTTACATTTCGCTCGAGATTTAACAATCGAGAATGAAGATTGCACTAAAAGTGAATCGCTTTTAAAAAAATTGTTCCAGAATTATCAATAGAAAATGACGTAAGAGAGTTAAAGACTTAATAGCCTAAGAGTGCTCATTCATCAAGTTATATCCGAGCTATTGTTCGAAATTCAGTATTGTAAGTAGAATATAAGTTAATGATGTTCAAATTTATACCTAATGGTAAGGTTTACACAATTTCTTAAAGTAAATTTATGACAAATATCTTGATGACAATTGTATTTTGCTTACATTTACTTTCATAACCCCAAAATGATAATCCTGTTGTATAATTATAAATTTCAACAAATATTCTTATTTAAAATCATACCTTTCACTATTATTCATACTAATATCTTTTGTTTAGTGTATTTCTCTAATCATGATACTTATATGTACTACGAGTATATAACAGTAATTGCATATTCGCAATTTAAGTGACTGAAGTGCAATAATATTTTGTTGTCTAAAGCGAAATGAGGTTGTCAAAAGTGATGGGCATGTCACGTTCACAGAACTTGAATTATTCGCTTACACAGTAGCTTTACGTATAAGTCAAACTTTGTTTCTGATACTAAGTTTAGACATTCAAGAATCGAACTTGTGGAATTGTCAATTTCATGGCTAATGTGCACCATAACGGGCAACATACAGTGGCACGTCTCACATTCGATTTACGTACAGCACCCATTTTTAGAAAGTTTGTAGGCTTATCTATAGGGCCTGGTACCAATCGATATTTGTATGCAAAGTATCATTAAATTGAACATAAATTTACTAATTATATTTTCAAACCATAATTGTCAAATCGATGTAAAAATAGTGTCAATAAATCAAAAATTTTTGCTTATTGCTTAACAATTGTGTAATTGTGAAATTTTAATATGAAGTGAAGTTATTAACTTCTTTTTTAATGGTATATAAAGTTTTGAACTGAAATTAATTTCACTTTGCTTAAATTGCATTGTCGCATGAATTAAGTTGAGCTATTGCAATTTTTTACTTAAAGATACATTTTGCATTTATTTGGGTTCTGCTTTGCTTTCACATCCATTGCACTGCACACACAATAACCGACCTCTACTTTGTTAATTCAACTTAAAGGTTAATTACTTTCGAGAAATATTTCCTCCGATAAAAATCGCGCATAAAAATTCTAAACAAAAGAGGTTGACTCTCGTTCTGGCGTATTCATTTCTGAAGCGCTTGCATATGTGGCCCACATTTAAGTGGCGTCGTCGAAATCAACCGGCAGGCATGATTAAATGTGAGAAAATTGACGTGTTTATGGTCTCCGGAGTGGTTCGGTAATTTTAATTTTAGTGCTGCTCTGATGATATTGTGTTGCATACTCGCGCTAACTAATAATAAACTTAATGACGTACTTATTTTGGTCATTGGATTTATGAGTCAGTCAACAGTCTGTTGAAATGAAAGTAAAGTTCCAAAGTATTTTTTTGAGCACCTAAAAAAATTCTTTCATATAATTTTATTATGACTGTTGAAGCTGTTCTATGAATTATAAAATTACTCAAATACTTTGGTTTCTGCATTATTATCACAAGTTTTTCTGTTTCTGTTAATTTACTAAGTAACAGCAGCTTCGTTTAATGTACCAGAACTTATCAAGTAAAATGTTAGGGATTTAAATTTAGTCACAAATTTTTAAAGTTTTTTTTTATTTTTAATACCAAAAAACTTTAAAAAAAGCATAGAGTAATTTGAGTTTTCGGTCGAATAGCGGAAAATTCAAAAAAAAAAAAAAAATATAATCTGAATCTTTTTAAATATAAAAACACATTAAAATAAATTTTGAATGCATAATTTTTGTGATAATTAAGATTTTCTGATGAAAAGTGTTTTTTGAATAGTCTTTTCTTTGACAACCTATACTTCAGTAAATATTAGAAACGCCCAATTCTTCTACCACTGCCATTAAGCATATACTACAATTATTTCAAATAAGTCTATAGAAAAAAAAAATTCTGATGTTTATTCCTCTTAAATTTTAAGAGAAAAAGATTTTATATTTTGTCATAAATATACACAGATTATAGAAAACCATGATACATAATTCCTACACTTCCACTTACTATACACTTGTATAGTAGTAGACGTTGAATTAATATATGTTCTAATTTTTTTATTTTATATTAGTTAAAATAGAAAGTATCAGCTGGTTTTTGTCACTAGATGGTTTTGGTATATGGATACCACTAACCGATTATATGACATCACCAACACGACTATCTCTAATGAGCACTTGTATTAAAGGTCACATTTCCGACTCCATTTTTTTGTGAAGCACTGAAATATCCAAAAAATGCTTGAATACTATAAATACTGGATACTGTTACAAAAGTGAGGAAGCACTAAAGTATCTCAAAAATCCTTCATTACTAAAAATATTGGATACTGCTACAAACTTATAACGAAAAATTTCTGCGTTTTACAGTAAGGTTGCTTCGAGTGAACGTTGGATCTAGTGGTGGTTCCCTCGATTCCATTTCTGAAATTTCGATATCAAAGATGCACCTCACTCTGGTGACTAGTCACTAAAAGAGTCAACGAAACTTTTCAACTGATGATACACACAAGCTGCCAGAAAATAGAAGATAGTTTATATGGCCCACCACTATTTTTTATAATTATTTAAAAACTATTCTTTAAAAAGTATCTCTCTAATATACAAGTCCTATATAATCCATTTTAGTAAAAGAAAGACTAAAAAGACACTTGAATAAAACGGACACTTGAATAAATAAACTTCGTAATACTATTTAATCATATGTATGTATGTTTGTAACAGTTAAAGTATTTTACACTTCGTGCTCATTGAAAAGTCACACCTGCTACAACTTTATTAGAATACCCAATAAAATTCAACTCCAACAATAAATTTTGAAGTTCTAATTTATGTTTTCTAGTTTAAGTTAAATCGCGTTTCCTTAATACTTCGGTTAACAAAACTATTAAGGATACTTAAAATGAAAGTGTTTAAAAGAGTTTACATTTTAACCTATTTGCCTATATTTTGTTATTTCAGTGTAATTCGCGGCTATAATTATTGTCCTACAAAGTCTTAATTAACGTATTTTTCCCCTTTTTTATTTTAATTTTGTTACCAATTCGTGTGAATACCTGCACGATTTAAATGCAGTTCTGTGGAATTAAATAATGTGCATATATGCAAGTATGCATTTACACCTATTAAGACTTGGGTATGGCCCATATTCACAACTCCACATACTCAAATAATTGCATTTTTCATACATAACCTAATGCATTTGCGTGCAAAACACTGTTGCCATTTGCATTACACACGCTCAATTGGTGTGCGAGTGTGTATGTTCACGACACTCAATTGTGGTAAGAAGAAAAACAGAGCAAAACACCACAGCCGTGTGACCCAGTTTTCAAACAAACATTCGTGTTCCCATTCAAAAGCATTCCTATCCCGTTTTGCTCCTGCCGTAAATGCAGACTTGCATGCCTGTTTCGTGTTTATGTTTTGCTCAAGTAATTGCAAGTAATTACATGTATTTAAACAGGCAAGCAAGTATTTGCGGTGTTATTCGCACGTTTGCTGTGTGTGAGAGAGTATACTCTGGTAAGTTCGGCTGTGTGTGTGTGTGTGTGAATAGTCCACTCGACGCCGAATGACTTTGAAGTTTGTTCGTTCGCATTGTTTATGCTTTCAATGCTGCAGGATTATGTTCAGTTGAAATCTAGCGGTTGCCGTGTGCACAAACACTGCTGTAGATTTGTTTTGTGTACGCGATTTTGTTGGAAGGTGTATGTGTGTGCGTTTCTCTTGCTAAACGTTTTTAATTTGTAGCATATTTTTAGGTGTTGTTAAATTAAATTTAAAAATATTAATGATTTTTATTTTTTTGATTTTTATTGAATATAGAGCTGATGGCTTAAAAATGGTGCACAGCAATGATGATGCCATGAATAAAATTCCACTTAAATCCTCATCCGGTTTGGATGATGAGGAAAAAAATGGCGGTGAATTTGTGCACGATACAACAGCTGCTGAGGAAGCCAGACGTGAACAAATGTGTGTAAAAAATTCATTTAAATTTATTTATTGCACAAACTAATTTAATAAAACTATAAAATTTAATTTTAAAATATTTAAAAAATAATTAAATTTAAATTCTTTTTATGTTTTGAAGGCGTGCAAATATCTTAAAATGGGTTAAAAAATTAACAATTGTGCTCATCTGCTTCATTGGTATTGCACTTATTAGCTACGTTATAATTAGTTTATGTTTTAGTGGTAAGTTTTTTAATTAAATTTAAACCACTTTAATTAGTTTTGCTCAAACATATTATTTTATATTTTAAATATATTACCAAAACTCAATTGCACTGTACAAACCTACACAACTTACACCTTTTGCATACCGTGATTGTCTCTCTCATTCCGTAGACTGGTCAAAGTCAACAAACTCAGCTTCCCCAACAACTTCCACTAACACTTCTCTTTTACCAGATGATACCAACAACATTGTTAGCAGTAAGAGCAGCGGTAGTAGTCAAAAAAATGACAGCACAATTACAGATGAAGATTCAACAAGTCGAGAGGTTGATGCAAATAACAACAATGTTACATATGTAGCTTCGTTTGATTCGAGTGGAAAACACGTGATGGAGACGACAACAAAGACCACGACAACAGTAACTCAAACCACCTCAGCAACAGTCAAAGACTCTAGCACAAAAGCTGCTTCGTTGGCCCCAACTACCGTCGAAACAATAGAAGAACCCAAAACTGGCAAGAGCACATCCAAAGTGAAAGCCGATTTACTCCACGATACACCAATCACAGATACAAAATTCGAATCCAAATTGGGTGTGTTTGAGCAGGCGGCTGTATGCTCAGATAAGGAGGTTTGCAGTCAAGTTGGCAGGTAAGGTTGCAATTGCCTATTGTGAATAAATTTTGCTCGTTTTATTGTAAACTTTAACAATAGATTTGAATTCTATTAATGTTTAACATAGCAACAAGTTTTCATTGCATTGTTATTATTTGAAACAGCATTTTTGTATTGCTTTCTTTATAATAAACTTTTCCGTTACATAAACATAAAATGTTCAGTTAATAATGCCAATATTTTACCAATGGCAAAATCATTAGAATTGTTATAAGTTTGTTTTTATTTAAGTTATTGAGGTATGAGAAATCAAATCAATAAGTTTATATATATTATAATTTGATTCTATAGTAAAAATTCTATTATATAGTAAATATTAATATTATTTGTAATTAGAGTTTATAATACTCTCATATGGTTATTTACTTCTGCATTAAAGCTCCCATAGATTGGCACAAAGTATTTGTTGAAAACAAATTTTGATATTATGACATTGTGATATTCACATTAATATATTTTTTTTACTGTTTGGTGATATTAAAGAGATTGTTTAAAGTCATTTATTTATTTTAATTTATTTAAACATTTAACATCATAAAATGTGAGTAGTAAGTAATATCAAGGATCTACTTTGACGTCATTTATAGGACATTTAAATTTAAATACTGGATTCTATATAGGAATACAAAAATTAACATTGTAAACAAAAAAAACATAAGTCACTAGAAGCTTAAAGAATTCACTAAAATTTTTGTCATATGCCTCTATCTTCAAAGGTATCTCCATAAGAAGCTATATATATATATATATCTAAAAAAAGCAACTCACTGATCCAGTAAATATTTCATTTCAGTCTTTGAAAAACTTTATGTATGTAGTTATAAATTCAATATAAAAATCTTAAATACAAATATCTTTGATTTTGTGGTTCCTTCCTTCTTTATGCGATAGATAGGTGTGATAGATAGGTGTGGAAGAAATAATTATTACTCATTCATTTAGAAAAAATATGAAATAATATATAAAAAGAGTTAAACTGAAATTATCTAAAGGACCTATCAAAATCGTTTGTAGGAATTTTTAAGTTATAATGATTCAAAAATCAAATGATACTTATTTAGAAAGGATAAAAGTTTCAGAAGGGGCTACTATCGAAAAATCTAACAGGGCTATTATAACCATTATCGCTTAGAGTCACTTTCAAGCGAAATTAATTTGGGTATTGTATATAATAAACGTTAAGAATCATTACAGAAATTTTGAATTGGATTATGTTATTTGAATAATAAATAACTTATAAAACTAAATACTTATTCTTATATGTTTTAGTCTTAGTTAGAAAATTGTACAAGTATCTGGTGAATAGGAATATAAAAAATTTGAAATGAACCTGTTATATTATATTATATAAACCCATTACAAAATAACATATGTAAGAAGATTCAAGTTGAATGATGTAACAAGTCAATATAATCAATTCTCGTAGGCTAACCTTGCAGAGGTCCAATTAAGACATATTCGTTTGGCCGAAAAAGAAAGGACAGGTGGTATAGCTTCAATACCTGTAAAGCTTCAATACCATGTTCAAGCACATACCAATGAAAAATGCATCAAATCTGTGCTGTTGTATGATCGAAAGAATTGTTTGTGCAAGTTGATATTTTAGCAAGACACTGTGAGTTGCAACACATACGCGTAACTTATAATAAATATTACCAGCTGTCACGATTGTAGGAAATTTAAGAAACCAGGTATTAATGAAACTCTGAAATAGCTCCATAGTTTCTTTTTGGCTTTGTCAAAAACTAGAAGAAAATTTTTTGAAGCTATCCATTTTCAAGGACTAAACTTCTCCAATGATGTTGGAATGAACTGCCTTGTAATGACATACACATTTTAAACAATTTATACTGACACTAATTGTTTTTAAAATCAACAATTTAGTATCGCTACGAACCCATCAGATCTATACGTGAACTCGTCCAGTTAGCACTTCCTACCTACCTACAGCCATTAGTTATAATTAATGACTATAACATCACAAATTAAGCTAGTTTAATAGATCTCTCTCTAATTCTTTGTATAAACTACTTATACATAGTTTTATCCTTTATTGACAAATTTTGACAGAAAATTTCTTTATGAAAGCTATAAAGTTACCTCGGATTGTTAAAATGAAATAATTTAAAAAAAATATTTTAAATTGGATTTTAACGTCAGTTATGATGGCAGTGATTATTTTACCCAAAAAAAAATTATTTACAAATAATTAAATATAAAAAACAATTGGTCAGCCATAAATGCAGTTAATTAAAACAAAATAAAAATTGTTGTTTTTGCAATTCACTACTATTCAAAACCTCTCCAAACATATATTTAAAAATATAAAAAAAAAAATGTAGGGATAATTACAATATATTTCAGAAGTTAATATAAGATTCATATATTATCAGCACAAGTATACAATTCATTAAATTTTTTGCTCGGATTTAAAAATTTCATTACTATTACCCACTTTCTTATTGGAACTGGATTTCTCATTATAGGGAATAAAATTAAATTAAATTAATTAAAAATTAATTACTTTATTTTATATAATAATAAATATTAAATAAAATCTAAATTAATACTTATGATTGCAAGAAGTGCTAATATAAGATTAGGACATATAACTATTTATAAATATATATAAATATGTTACATTAATTAACCTAAATCCTAAAATTCTTAATAAAAGTACCGATAACATGCTCTCAATAAAAAATACTTCCGCATATATGAACTCAATTTATGAATCAATTTCAATTCACTTACAGCCATATATTGGAAGAAGGAGGCAGCGCTGTGGATGCGGCCATCGCTACAATGTTGTGCAATGGTGTGGTAACCATGCATAGCATGGGCATTGGTGGTGGCATGTTGATGAACATTTACATTAAGGAGCAAAAGCATGCATTCTCGATTGATGCACGCGAAGTTGCGCCTTTTTCAGCCGTTCAGGATATGTTCGACAATAACTCTAATTTATCTTTGCATGGTGGACTAGCAATAGCTGTGCCCGGTGAATTAATGGGTTATCATCGAGCACATGAACGTTTTGGTAAATTAACATGGAAGCAATTAATTGAACCATCAATTAAGATATGCAATGAAGGCTTCTATTTAAGTAAACATCAATGGAATGCATTCCAGTACAAACGAAAGCATTTACTAAATAATACCGTCATCACGTAAGGAAAAGAAAATCTTAATAAATTCTTGATAATTATACAATAAAAAATTTATTCTTTTAAAGAAATGTATTCCTTAATGAAACTACTGGGGAACTACATCCAATTGGTACAAAACTGAAACCACCGAAAGAGCTTTGCAGTACCTATGAATTATTAGCAGAAAATGGACCACTCGATTTTTATAATGGTACACTTGCTAAGCTCGTAGCAGAGGACTTAAAGGACTTAGGTAGTCCCATAACATTATATGATTTAGAAACATATGTTGCTGACTTAGTTAGCTCCATAACCATGCAATTGGGTAATGATACGCTATACTCCGTACCACCTATTAGTAGTGGCAGTGTGGTGGCGAATGTGCTCAGCATTTTGGAGAACTTCAATTTTACCAAAGCTGATTTAGCAGATGTCAAAGACGAAGCACTAACAATACATCGCATCGTGGAAGCTTTGAAGTTTGGCTTTGCTAAGCGTTGGGAACTTGGTGACTTAAGATTCAACGATGTGCGGGAGGTATAAAATTATTATATTAATATTTTTGTTTTTAATTGTTAATTAATATATCATTTTTAATATATATCATATATTAGCTTGTTAGTAAATTAACTACACCTGAGTATAATACTGCATTAAGCGCACAAATCAATGACTCCAGTGTACTCAACAGTATATATGAGTATGGTGCACAATATTTAGGTGTTGATGATGTCGGCACCTCACAAGCTGTAATTTTGGCACCTAATGGAGATGCAGTCTCGATAACAAGTTCTGTAAATGACTAGTGAGTGTCTATCATTTTTACTAATTTTATAAAAAATGGAATAATTTTATTAAATTTATTTTTTATTTATTTCAATACTATTTTCAAACAGCTTTGGTGCTGGTCAGGCCGGAAAACGTACTGGTATTATATTTAATAGCTGTATGAATGACTTTTCCATACCAAATACATCAAACTACTTTGGACTACCAGCGGCACCCAGCAATTACATTGACGCACGTAAACGTCCAATGTCATCAATGTCTCCAATGATTCTCACGGATCCGGCTGGTGATATACGCATGGTATTTGGTGCTGCTGGCGGTTCTAAAATTATATCTGCTGTTGTTGAGGTAGCGGCACGTGTTTTATGGTTCGATCAGAATATTAAAGAAGCTATTGATGCGCCGCGTTTCCATCATCAATTGATGCCAAATATATTGGAATATGAAAACGAAGGTTTTAGTGAGGTAAAAGTGGATTATAGTTTTATTTTATTTGTAATTAATATAAATATTATAACAATATAATTATATACAGGAAACACTCAAACTATTGCGTGACAAAGGACATCAAGTAAAGCCATATAAATATATTGGTTCGGTTGTTTGTGGCATAGTGAGGAACAGCACAGCAGTATACGCAAATGCAGATTATCGCAAACAAGGAGGTGTTGCGGGCTATTAAAATCTCATTTATAGATCTTAAGATATTTATACACGGTAATTTATATATGTCATTTCTAGATCTATAGTCATTTGTATTATTACTAATTGCTAATCGTACGCAAATATAAGATTAATTATAATTATAATTTTACTGTTCTTAATTTTTATTTTTAATTTTTTTTAAATTTATATTTTTTATACTTTTGTATATTTTATTGTAATTAATTTATGCTGTTAAAATTTGTTATAAACTGTACCTAAGAGAATTTTTCGAAATATTGTATACACACAAACACACACACACCTAAGCATATACATAAACACAGATACTTTAATATATATGCCGATTTGATATCAAATTAAAAAGAAGTGCATTTGATAATAGTTAAGATATATTTATAAAATAATATATATAAACTAAAAGCTAAACAATTTTATCAATAAACATATGAAAATTGCTTTTTTGCAGTAATTAAAGAATGTCTTTTAATAATTAACTAAGGAATTACTCCTAATATCTTCTCATCATCTTAAGTTATTGGTCGGACTTCTGTACTATGCAGTATGGCAGATATTATAAGAAATATGTAACGCATACGTTTTGTATTGTCTTGAGTGGGTATTGACTTTCAGTTACCCATTAAGCCCGAAGTAGTATGTAACGTCAACATTGTTTTTTAATTCAATGCATTGGCTGACTTTGTTTTTGGCGTTTAAAATAATTTTCAAATAAACGAATTCATTCAGAATTCATTCGCTCTTTTAGTTGCCAACAATAACGTTGGTTCTAAAATGCACAGGAAATTCTTGGAAGTCAGATGAAAGTATAGTACTTTGTACCAGGATGGCGTTCAGGCTGGCAATAACAATACCGCCAACATCCATTAGCATCATAATATATATTTGTTTTTGTTTAAGATTTGATTAATTGTTTATAATAATTGTAGGAGCGCCTCAAAATGATTCTTTAATATTCTCTTTGCTTTGATACTGGGAAATTATGGGTTCAATACAAATTTTACTATTATATTTGAAAATGTGTGTTTTGATCCTTCAAAAGCTTTTCGTAAACAGAACTAATTTATATTACAAAGTATTATTTACAATATTAAAGAAATTTGTCTAGGTATAGAGAATGGGTCAATGGGTCAATGCTTGCTCAACCAGTATCCAGTGTACATAATGTAAAATGTTTCTTTCAATTACAAGTGGCTTTCGGTATATGGTATACAATATTAGAAAATCCACGAAGCCCTAAAATTCCCCATTATTGGCAACGAACAAAACAAGTTCAAGTGAAAGTACAAAAATAAATTCGAAGAGCATCAAGATTACGCAGAACAGAAAAATATATACAGTAGATCTTCGTACATTGTCGATAATGTGGATTCTCTTGTAATTCGGATGAAATTAGAAAATGCATAGTATATATGATATAAAAATAAAGAAGCCAGTCTGTTTGAGAAACGCGGCTAGTAAGTATGTGCGAGCGCTGCACATATAATATGCATTACATTTTATTTTTATATAATTTGATTTATACTGTTTATACTATTATATTTAACAATATATTAAAATAAATATAAAAACGTGTTTTTATTTTTCATAAATGTTAATAATATATTGTGCCTGTTTTATGGTTTAGTGATATATATATACGTCTATGAGTTCTGTATATATACGTATGTATGTTTTATTCGGCTTTGTTTACTATTTGCTAAATTAGTCTGTCATTTATTATGTGAATATATCAATTAATTATTGAATGCAGGAAATTATTAATTTTAGTTGTACAAATAAATATATATATAAATAAATATATATATAAATTTATATACAAATAAATATATATATATTTATATATATATATATAAATAGTGGACTTCTAATATAACTCTCGAAAGTCCAAATATCTCAATAATCTCCGGGTTAAGTCCAAATTTATTGAAACCGGATTAGTATAGTTTTACAATATTATTATATGTGCAACTACTTTGATAACATTAAAAATTACAAGTTGTTATATGTAATATTTAAGAGAATATTACATTGTGGAGACTTTATATATAATTTTTTAATAGTTGATACTATTACTATAGTAATATTGATACTACTATTAGTTGATAATAGTTGATGAACTCTAAAAATTGAGTTAATTATTACAAATTATTCGATTTCATTATTTATTCATTATTGTAAATTTCAATAAAGAGACTACATTCAAATTAACATAAAAAAATAAATAAATTTTACTAAAATAACTAATATTAAATATTTATGTATCCGAATAAACTATACCATTTTTTGTTAATGAGTATTGATCAGATTGTAGAATACTGGTTAGAAATATTTTTACTTTTCTTAAACACTTTAAAATTAAATATTATATTTAAATTAATAATTTTTCAACAAAAAAAAAATAAAAAAAATATATAAAAATAGTTAAACTACTTACGCAGATAAATCTAACTTTACTAACAACTTTGCACTGGTGTTCTCATTTGATCTTCGCTCGCATTCTCCACTTTTTATAAAGGGTGAATATTGCCTATCATTTCCAAGGATTAAATCAATTAGTTGAGGTAACGTTAAACTCTAACTTGATGCTTGCTTGAATTATTTTTGTTGTTGTGTTTTTATTTTAATTCCATTTTGTTTCACACTTTACTCCTTTTTTATAAGCAAAAAAAAAAAATTTATTGCACGCACTAAATTTTAAATCCACAAAAAGTATTGCATCACACATTTATATTGTTAATAAAAAATATATCCTTCTTATAATCCAAAATTATTATTTAAACATTATTACATTTAACTATTTAATGATCAAATTCAAACTTTTAAAACTTAATATTAAATATTAATGATCTTTGGAAAACTATTTACTCTTTTTCCTCTTTTTCCACGACTAAACACGACGCAAGTTAATCGGCAACTGAAAAATATGTTCGTTAAATTTTCTTGTGCCTACTAAAGTTAATGTTGTTGTAATTAATATGGACGTTGTCTTTTTCTTGCAATTCTTTTTTAATATTAACGAAGATGGTACCGTTAATGGAATATAACAGTTAAATGTATAGAGGTAAAAGCAATTGATTTTTGAAAGGGACCAGTAGAACAACTTGATCTTTGTTGTTTTTTTTTTGTATAACAGTTTTGTGTTGTAGAATAGTTAAAAGCAATTTAGTGGGGAAAAAAAGACAAATAAAAATAATAAGCCTGATTATATTTGGAAATATTAGGAAATAATGCAATATTTACATGTATAATTTAAAGATATAATTTTTTATGATTAAAGCTATTATATTGTGTTAATAAATAAATAATATGTTAATAAATAAATAATATGTTAATAAATAAATAAATTAATAAATTAATAATAAAAATAAATTAAAAATAAATTTTTTTTTGTTGGTTAAAAGCATCGAAAACCACAGTATTACACTTGAACCCACTAAAACCAACTCTAAGTAACGAGTTGAGAAAATCTCAGCCATCAGACTGTAAAGGATATCTGACTATGATCGTATTGCAGTTATCAGGGTGGTGAAACATAGATAGTTTAGTATTTGAATGACCAAATTTATCTAAGCTACGAGTAACAACAGAGTATACATAATTGTATACCAGTTAATATATAAATATATATATTTTATACTTAAATTAGTACTTTGTAAGAGGTATGAATTTCGAAGAGTGTACTCTATGGAATAGGTTATTATATCTTTTCCGTTAAAATAAAGACCAAAGGATTGCTAAGGCCTATGAAAAAGAGGTTGAAGAAGCTCAGTGGGAAGTCCTTGAGTGTGTAGAATATAAAAAAATATATAAATAATATATAAATATATTTTTTTTATACTTAAATTAGTACTTTGTAAGAAAGAGGTAAGAATCTTAAAGAGTGTACTCTTGAAGCAGTTTATTATATCTACTCCGTTAAAATAGAGACCAAAGGATTGCTGAGGCCTATAAAAAAAAGGTTGAAGAAGCTGAGTGGGAAGTTCTTTAGTATGTAGAATATAAAAAAGAGATTACGACGATGAGTTAGATACCTTGGCAGTGGAGTAAAAAACTTACTTACTAAAGAACTTAGTATACAGTATATATGTATATATATATATCCATTGTAATGTATGTGCGGTTTTTATCTCGTTTTGGAATTCTGACTGCTTAGCAACTTTGTTCATACGACTACAATTAAACTAGATAAACTACTTTTAAATCATGTAAAGAACTATTAAAGACAGTATAGTACAATAGGACAATTCTGGCCGCAGTACCGGCTGTTGGGCAATTTTCACGTCAACACTTTTAATAATTTTTTTTAATATAAAGACAGTATATGTTATCAACATAATGTATATGATGATAATATATAGACACTATTATATATGATGTTGTTATATATAATAGATATTATTTTTTAAGTTTCTTTTTATTTCGAAAATGATTCTTATCGGATTGTCGAATTATTGAATACGTAACATATATAGCTTTGATTAATTTTTATTCATTTTGTTCATTCTAATTGAATTTTTTAAGACACGAAATATTTGATGCTAAATGAACATTATAAATACTTGGAAAGTTAAGACTTTTAGCACTATATGCTCATATCTGAATATTTCCACTCTTTGACAAATCCAAAGATAAACAGGACTAATATGAATAAACAAAATATTTATATCGTTATATGATTTAAGCTTACAAAAAATATCATACTCTCAGAAAATAGTATTGGTAAGAAGACTCCAATTCTCTGAGCACTGCAAATGAACTTTATACCAAAAATATTTTTAAATGAATTAAGTAAATAATTCACATTTACAGATTGTGAATGTTCCTTTAACAAATTAACTCAGCATTTTGGGTTTTCCTCTCGACCAGGAAACAAAAATTTGACGTTTCACATTCTCAACTGCGCAAGTCCTTTGTGTATTGCATCAAAGGATATATGCACAACTTTTGTCTTGGTGGTTTCTTTAATTTTTACATCAAATGAAAAATTAAAAGATCATTTCACCAAAAAGCAATTAGTTTCTAAATGAAATAAATTGAAATGTAAATCGAAATCCTTCCAACGCACGCTTTTCAAATAAACTCGACACGATGATTGCCATGCACCTATTTTTACTCCTTTGCTGCTTGTGCTTCATGTTGATGGCATTACTTGTGCAACAAAGGCTCAATTTCCGTAAGTACTTTGATATAACCTATATCTCTTACTAATAAACTCTTTATATTTAGTGAAACAATTTTTCAAATCATCAAAACTTAAAACCTATGAAAGCAGTTCACTCATACCACCCAATCCAATTGTACCGCAACTACCTTCCGTCTCGATTATGCATATATACGAAAAAGCAGCTGTTTGCTCTGACGGTCCAATATGTAGCATTATTGGCAGGTAAATAGTGTTATATGAGAGAATATAATAGATTTTGATATAATTATAACTTTCTATGTACAGTGAAGTCTTAAAAGTTGGCGGCAGCGCTGTAGATGCCGCTATAGCAGCCTCAATCTGTCAAGGACTAGTAGGAATGCAAAGTATGGGCATTGGTGGTGGCTTATTGATGAACGTTTATATAGCAGAAGAAAAACGTAGCTACAGTATAACAAGCAGAGAGGTGGCTCCTTTAGGAGCCAGCGAAAGTATGCTTAATAACGCAAGTGCAGAGTTTCATTCTAGTTTGTCCATTGGTGTACCGGGAGAGGTAATGGGTTATGCAGTAGCTTATGAGCGTTTTGGCAAATTACGTTGGAAGAATATAGTAGCACCAACGGTTGAAATATGTAATGCAGGCTTCTTGGTTACTGAACATCTGGATTTTGCACTGGAAATAAATAAGGATAAAATTATGAATGATAAACAATTACGGGAAGTGTTTGTGAATCCAAAAACTAATGAGCTTCTACAGATAGGCGAATACTTAAAACCACCGGATGCACTATGCCGCACTTTAGAGTACATATCTAATAAAGGTGCGCGTAGTTTCTATGAAGGTGTTTTAGCAGATGACATCATAGCAGACCTGAAGGAATTTAATAGTATTATAACTAAAAAGGATTTAAGCTCGTATAAAACAGATATCACATCTTCAACAACGTTTCCATTGGGGGCACATATTTTACACTTCATGCCACCACCAGCTAGCGGTTACATCATTGGTTTCGTTATGAAAATATTACAGAACTTTCAGTCGGATTTCGCGCGTAAACGTAAAATGGATGCGATTCTCATACATCGCGTTGTGGAAGCACTTAAGTTCGGTTTTGTGAAACGTTGGCAATTGGATGCAGATATGAGTTTAGAAGTATATACTTGGAATAAAATTGTTTCTCCTATTTTAATCCATTACGTTTTTATATAGTTACTGTCCAATTTATCTAGTCCAGTTTATACTGAAAAGTTAGCCAGTTTAATTGACGATATCGACACTTACAATGATTCCCAACACTATGGAGCCGATGAAGAGTTGATTGGTAGAAAAGAACGTGGCACAGCACATATCTCAGTTGTGGCACCAAATGGTGATGCAGTGTCCATAACCAGTTCCATTAATTTTTAGTAAGTAATGACTTTAGTGGCTTTTTTGATATTATCAAAAAGCAATAATTTTTTGTATTCTCCAAACAGTTTTGGCAGTGGCCACTGTGGCAATCGCACCGGCATAATTTTTAACAATGCCATGCATGACTTTAACATTGAGGGTATTGATAACTACTTCAAGTTACCCAACATACCGAAAAAGAATCGTATCAAGCCAGGCAAGAGTCCGATGTCATCCATGTCACCCCTTATTGTGACCACCCTAAATGGTGAGGTGCGCCTAGTTATTGGAGCAGCCGGTGGAACCAAAATCATTTCAGCGCTAGTGCAAATCCTTATACGTGTGCTATGGTTTGATGAAAATATCAAAGAAGCCATCGATGCTGCACGTTTCCATCATCAGTTGATACCAAATGTTTTGGAATACGAATATGGCATCTTGAATCAGTTTATACAGGAACTTGAGGAAAAAGGACATAAGACAGATCGCTATCGTGAACACGGTTCAGCTGTTTGTGGCGTTGAACGTTTTCGCAATAAAGTTGTAGCTAATGCGGACTACCGCAAGGAAGGCGAAATTGAAGGATTTTAAACTATCTTTTACTTCACTGAGAAGTAACTAAAAATAATCAATGAGCTTAAAGTCTTCTAGCTCTGTAGGGAGTTATGAAGATTTGAAGATAAAACCTAAAAATGTTTAAAGTTTTCTAACATATCTCTTAAGTTACTCCTGATGCAGTTAATTGCTCAACGAAATTTCCTAATTACAATCTCAGTATTGTTTCGAAGACGAAAAAATTTACTAAAACTTTGTAAGACTTCTAAAATTAATATTTTAAGTATTATTTTTTTAACTGGGTTTTAAATAAAAAATTAAATGTTGTGAACAAATACGGAATTTTTTTTTGTTTTCATTTGGTTAGCATTATCTTTAACCTATATACGGAATGCAAACTTCTGCATGAGCCCTTTCCAATACATAATTCATAACTTTATAATATATGATAAAGTTCTGCATGACTATGACTAAGTTCTGCATAGGACATATCCTTAAGATAAATTATGTCTATGTAATATATGGAACGCTAACTCCTACGTAACCTATATCCGACAGATAATCTACATCTATGTAATATATGGTATGTTAAGTCCTGCAGAACCTATATCTTCAAGACATTATCTATAAAATATATAGATTGTAACTCTTGCACTAGCTATACCCTATACATAACTGGGATTACACCAAGAGAACGATACCCACATTTCCAAAAAGCAAATGTGCTCTAGCTATGGCATTAGGTTTTTATATGGCATGTCATGTTGAATCATCATATACTCTCATCTTATAAACTTTGACACTAGACAGACAGAAAAAGAAGCACTATAACTTTTAAACAAATCAGAACATTAATACTAAACTTTTGATATATAATCAATACGTTGATATGTTTATGTAATTATTAAGCATGTCAAACATCACTTAAGGTAAAAATAGTTCAGTTTGAGTCATATGAACCTATATATTTTTTTCAAGGTCCAAAAATCCCTAAATATTCGTTAACAAATTTCAAATTTCATCACATAAGGTAGAGGTCTAGCACAACAAAAATATATCACAATTTCTAATTCAAGAATATAATTTGTATTAGAGGGAACTTCTAAAAAGTAATCTGCGTCTACATTAAACAAAAAATACTTGATGTGATGTTGTTATTATAAGCTGATCTCTTCTTAGACAGAAGAGGAGGTCAACTAACACGCCTATAATGATTCACAGACAATTATACTTCAAATTCAATCACTTTGATCCTTCTTTCAAGAAGCAGGTAATGTTTAATAGATTTTATATGGTGACATCTCAGCTTCTTACAAAGACAGTTCAATTGTTTTACATCTAAAATGGAGATCGTAACTTGATTAAGTTTGATCTGAAGTCAACTATAGACTACAAGACACCAATATGTTAAATTAGATTGTACCGGCAATCCAAATTAAAAGAGAGATTCAATCTTCTAGCACGATTTTCTAATCTACAATTAAATGTGAGTAAACCCACCACAAGACTGATATCTCTACGAAGTATCTCAATGAGAGTATAGGATTTCCTTTTAATGAAAAGTGACCAACTTTCACACAGATGCCTACATATCTTTGAGTCTTCGCATCTTTTATCAAGAAGTAGAAGAAAGAACTCAGTAATAGTTTGTTTAATGTTAACGATATGCCCGGATTGTTTTGGTGTTCCGAGTAATTTTCTGAACCATAAGACAACAGAACTGGATTTTAATACGCGAATTCCTACTTCTTACCCAAAGAGAAGACAATAAAAGTTAGGAATTATGGTAAGTTACTCTATGTAATGTAAATGACTTAAAAATGAAAAGTAAAATGGAAACGTGTATCTAGTCGATAAATAGAGACATAAGGCAAAAATATTATTTTTTGTTTCCTATTTTGTGGTGTACATTCATTCTGTAGCCATATGCATTACTGGTTAGTGATATGGGTCTACTTACCACTTCGCTGTCTTCATCACAACTACAAATTATGCCAGAAAAAAGGAAGAATAATAGTATGTACCCTTGAGCTTTATACTAACTGTCACTGAAAAAATTAAAATAGTATTTAATTTTTAAATAATTATACATATATTAACAATATTTGTTTATATTAATTTACAATAATAATATATATTTTCATTCTATTGCCAGTATTAATTATTCATTTAAAACATAATATTTATTCCATAAAACTGTAGTTGTTAGAATAATTCTGCTTATATTCCGAATGAAAATTTGAAGCTCCTTTTAGGTCTTGAATATTTTTAGATATATACTTCTTTGAGAGAATTTCTTTTGCTATACCTTTCGAACGCTGTGATGGTAAGCGGTATACAGTTGTGTCCTTAAAAAGTTATAAAATTTGATTTATTATTTTTTTCCCACTATCTAATACATATAGAAACTTAGAGATATTTGTATGTATGTAGTCATTACAATCAAACTCAAAATAAATTCTCGTCAAATTAACATTGGTTTATAATTATAATTAATTTAAAAGTAACGGACAAATTTTAATCAATTACCTGTTGTTTGTGAGCAATTTTACCAATTTTTGAGCTATTTTTCTTAGCACTAACTTTTCGGAGAGGTCTTTTAAATAGATAACACAATATTGGACGAGTTATGACAAAATGTAAAACTTCAGCAATCGAAATGAAACCAAACCCCATCATTAAACTCATAATACCACCCGTTTGAGCTGCAAAAATCAAATAACATCCAAATATATAATAATTTTAATATATGTTAATGTATATACTCGTACTATATAACATGCCTTCAATACTCACACAAATAATCTGTAAAACGTGTATAGGGGCTACGGACATTGTTGCGATAAAATGGTTCCTTCAAGTAAATATGTATTATGGCAACATTTTCTTGTAAAAATTCCTTTGACAGATTGCGTGCCACACGATTGAGAGCATTGAATTGTTTTGAAGTCAAAGCTATTGCAGTTACTTCACTATAATAATATAACTCATCACAACTCTGCAAACACTCCTCCCGACAAGATAAACTCTCTTCATCAAAATTGGTTCTTTCGGCATTAACCATACAGTCGAAATTCTCCACATGACAAATTGCGACATTATCATATATCATTGGCATGTTGAAGGGTATGCAGTGGCATTGCCGATACATAAAATCTGAATCGCATTCCATTTCACAATTCCGATGAGAGTAATATTTAAAATAGGCGAGCTCTTTCTCATTGTTGAAATAGCATTGACGTTTTTTTGGTTCAATATCACGTAAACTTGGCACAGCTTCGAATCCTCTGGGTGTGACCCGCATACGACTCTCTGCACCAATTTCTATGGGCAAACCAGTATCTTTTATATTTGGAGCATCAATTGGATTATGTACACTTATCTGGGTAAAACAATATGAATTAAATCATTTTAACTAGTTAATATATATAATATCTGCGACTATAATTGGAATTAAAAGAGGGACATGAATTAATATTTTTAGTTTTATACTAATTAGAGGTCCACAATATTAATCTTATAAATACAGAATCACGTGAACATCTTAATGATTTCATGTACCATAAATCCCTTTTGTAGTATCTTTAGCCATATAATTGTGGCCCACAGAAGCCTTATTGTGGAATAAGTGAGTCCACAACGATTTATCAATTACAAAAGTATTTTGTAGCCGAAAAAAGACGCTACTAGCAACACCCTCTAGGTAACTGTCAGTTAAAAAAATATTTTAGTCTTTACAACTACGGTATCGCGTCCCATTTTATTACAATAGAGCAAAGATTATTGGTGAATTATCCGACAGGTTAACATCACAACAAAGAAACCAACAACAATGTCTGAAGAAACTGACAGAATATCTAAACTAGATAGTCTCTCTGTAACTATCCGGCTAAGTTCGCAACCAGGACGAAATTGTTAGACAATAATATCCTTTCCAGATATAAGAATATCCTAAACGGCTAAAATTCTGGCTTTCATTCAAAGGTCGGAACATCTTCTGTTTTGTTAAGAGATTGGTTAGAAGCACTTTACTCCACTGCCAGCCAGTACCCCGTATATTTTCTATTTTCTCCAGCAAAGAATCTCTATTCTAATTTCTATATCTATTCACTATATAATATAAATAATTCTTGTCTATATATATAAATTACATTAAAATAAATTTAACTATCAAAACTATTATTAAAATAAATAAATCTTAAATAAATAAATAAAATTAAAATAAATTTAACTTTTGAAAAGCTCTTACGAATGTACTTTTTAGACTCATAATCTATTTTTGGTCTATATTAAATGTAATATGATAAATTTTTATAAAAAATCTATTTATAATAAAAAAATCTCAAATAACCGCTATTATCACCAAAAAAAAAAAATTACCTTAAAACCGGCACCATTAGTCGAGGAACAAAAATATTCATCTATATCTGCATTGACTGCTAGTGAAAATCCCAAGGACACACCAGCACCTATAAAATATTAAGAATATTAAAACAAAACATTTAAAAACGAAACTGTTATATACACCTTTTCCTTCACGTGGATAATAATACAGTGGTAATTTAGATGGATATCCAGTTTCTGGACTCCAATCAACGGGCAAACGGCCGATACTTGAGTGATAATCACTTACAAAATCATATCTTTAAAATTTTAATGTTTATTAAAAATAAGGAAAACTTTAAGATAAAATATAATTATTATATATTATATTATATATGATTTATTATTACCATATAATGTTACTACATGTTAGATAAACTGTATGTGAATAGTTGCTTTATTTTATAAAATTAATACTAACGCAACATATCTAAGCTTGTATCAAACGTTCATTTACGATTATATTTCTTTTTCTGTATTCTGTATTCATTCACATAACTTGTTTATTGAGACTAAATAATTTATTTTTTTATGTGGTAAAACATTTATAATTCTCATGTGCTTAAAAAAAACTGCTATATGCGTGAAGGTAAACAGAGACATTTAATTGTATAAATTCTAATGTGTTTTATTTATATTTTAATTATATCAATTGCTATTTGTCTTTAACATGATTTCCATTATCGGTGTTCTGGTTTCAGACAGTTGCTTTCATCATTAAATAGATTTGTTAGTTGGATATATATGCCTCAAAATGATTTAATTTCATTTCTTTTTGAGTATAAAATTATTGCTTTAACCAAGTTATATGAGATTTAGTCAATGAGTTGGGTTTCTCAAAAATTAAGGTTAAATAAATAATCTAATGAAGTAATTATTTCTAATAAGTTATCTCAATAAAT